GAGAAACTGGGGCTAAGAGAGAACATGGGATCCAGTGTCTACCATCTTATACCTCAACAGGTCATTCCAGGGTTAGACCTTTCCCACTCTAGTCTACACTGTTTTCTACCTATTCCCACCCAAACATGGTGTCTAGCATAGGAGAAGAAGGGTTTGGGTAAAAGCCTCATCATTTCTTAAATGACTTCACAGTGTTCGAATAAGGAAACTGCTAGCCCAAAGAGGAGCCCAGTGTTCATTCAGTTAAAGGCTGGGAGTAGTAAAGGCAGGTTGGGCAAGCAGAGGGCCTGGCCCCAGGATTGTTGTGATAGGGAAGGGACACAAGCTTGGGACTGGGGTGGTGAGTGTGGCACAGGAGTGGACAGCTGGATGGGGTTGGCCAGAACCTGGACCCTGGCCTTCCTCCTCCCACAGTTGAGCTCACTGAGGAGGAGAAGCTGCTTGGCAGGAGGATGATGAAGTACTGGGCCAACTTTGCTCGAAATGGGTGAGAAAACCTGCCAGGGGACACGGGTCCTCAATTGCTTCCCTTGTCTGAAGTGACCTCATTAGCTATTGTGTCTCCTTCATCACATCCTAGCCTCTTACCTAACAGGTTGACTCACACTGAAAGAGGGTGCTTTTTGGGTGCAGGTCACTGTCTCTTCTCACAGTGGTCCAGAGGGTGAGCCATAGTGCTGGGCTACCATGGGACCCAGCCTCTCACAGGGAAGGGCAACGCAGGCCAGGCTGCTCTGCCCTCTGTGGAATGACAGTAGTGAGAGGTCATTGCTTTCCTACATAGGGACCCCTTTCCACATTCTCAATACCCCTGTGTGCCTGGCTGGATGCCCTGTCCATAATTGGGGTGGAAGGTCAGGTCTGAGTTCAAAGGGTCTCAGACTGACCCTCGCCCTGCCCTTCTGGGAGGGCATGTGCACAGGAACCCCAACGGAGAGGGCCTACCCCACTGGCCACTGTTGGACAAGGACCAGCAGTACCTGCAGCTGGACATCCAGCCTGCTGTGGGCCAGGCCCTGAAGGCACACAGGCTGCAGTTCTGGACCAAGACCCTGCCTCAGAAGATCCAGGAGTTAAAGGGGGCTGAGGACAAGCACACAGAGCTCTAGCTTCCTCGTCAGGAAGAGAGGGGTGTGCTAGGTATGATGGGGTCTTCCTGTGGGGCCCACACATGCCCACCCAAGAACCAGAGTTGATTCACTCATTCACATAGCTATCGGTCCATACACTCTACCATGGGTCCTCTCTTGTTAGACACACTCATTAATTCCCAATGCAAGCCCACCTTCCTCCTCACCCCACTGTGACTGAGTCCCTCCCTCCCTCCCTCCCCTCTCCTTCTCTACAACCCCATCTATGCCCTCTTCCCAGTTGCCACACCCTCCCATGCTGACAGAGAAGTTTTAGGAAGTGGTGCTGGTACTTTTCTGAACCTCTTGCCCACCTCTCAGCAAGTACCCATGTTCTCCTACCAGTGGGGTCTCTACAGAAAAGCTGTATACCACAAGCCCTAGTGTTTTACTCCATCAGGCCGCTGTGACAAAAACAGCAACAGCAACAACAGCAACAACTCCAATAATACCCTAGCTCAGTATGATGGCACATGCCATAACCCAAGCCACTCAGGAGGCTGAGGGAAAAGAATTACCTATGCAGCCCAGGCTGGCCACCTGTGGAGACCTGAGGGTAAAATAAACTAACAAGTCCTGGGAGAGTAGCTCAGTGGTAGACAACTTGCCAAGCAGGCACAAGGTCCTGGGTTTGATCACAGTGCTACCACCAAAATATCAACAAATAAACACAATAAACTGGGTATCTCATAAACAATGCAAATGTGTTGTCTTCTGTGTAGGAGGTGACAAGTCCAGAATCAAGTGTTAGCAGATTTGTTATCTGGGGAGGTCTTCCTTTGGTTTCTAGATGGCACCTTCCCACCATGTCCTCATTTGGCACAGGGGCAAACAAGTGCTTCTGGTCCTATTTTACAGTTCCTAAACACAGTCCCCTCCCAATGATTCATCACTTTCAGACTGGCTTTCTTTCTTTCTTTCTTTCTTTCTTTCTTTCTTTCTTTCTTTCTTTCTTTCTTTCTTTCTTTCTTTCTTCTCAATCAAAGCCCAGGTAGTAGACTGATTTTATTAGTTATACATTTTGTGTGTCTGTGTGTGTGTGTGTGTGTGTGTGTGTGTGTGTTTTGTTGGGGATGAGCTTAGTGCATTAAAACTTAATGCACTAGTGCAGGCTAGGCAAGCACTCTACCAACTAAGCTCTATCCCCAGCCCATGGAGATAGACTTTCACTGTATGAATTTGCAGCACACAAACTTTCAGGCCAAACACTTAGAGTTCCCACATCTAACCCACCCAGGCTACAAACAAAACCAAAGTTCCAGATCCCTGAGCCACCTGGAGATTAAATGTCATCCATTATTAACATTTCAATCTACATGCCTACTCATCTATTTCTGTCCCAAGGAGGTGACAGGCCCCATACTTATGAGAAGCAGGACTGGGCTTTTCCATTGGCTTCTGGAGCCTGGGCCAGCTGGGTGCATTCTGAAGAGTCAGGTGGGGTCCTCAGGGTCCTGTCTCCTGAAGTTGCCTCTTATTCTCTAGGAGATCTGCAGACACTGTGAACCCCACACTAGCACATCACAACACAGTTCTCCCCCAGCCCACCACCCACTTGCCCTAATGCTCTGAAGACCCTTCTTCATTCCACATTTTTACTATCAGTTTGGGGACCTTCACCAAGAGGTAGATAGCAACTTCCAGATTAGGAAGGAGCACTGTGTTTTTCAGTTGACATAAAGGAGTTTATAACATGGCTATGAACTGGGAATAGCTGAAATATCTCAACTTCCACAGCCCCAGCTATGAACTAGGTCAGGAGAATACAGAGAGAGCATCTGCCTGGATGGGAGCTGGAACAGTGGCTTGGACCACAGTGCATTGGACGGAAAACTTTGAATTAACAACAGACCTTGCTGTTTAGGTAGAAGCCACCTGAAAATATTGTCAGCCCTAGAAAGACACCAGTAAAGACAACTGCTATCCTGGTGTGCAGGAATGAACCCAGGCTAGAATGAAGAAGCCAAGGCCTATTAGGAGAAAGTCCTGAAGGTCATCTGAGGTGAAGCCCCACACCCCTTCCTCCAGGAAGTCAGGCAGAGCAGGCACTCCTGTCTCCTGCTGTATTCCCTATGTCCTTGCAGGATTTGAGAAGATTTGACATCTCCTGGTTATGGGCCTGTGTCCCCAGCGGCCCCAGATGCCCAAGAGAGCCCTTCCAGGTCCACAGTGCTAGAACCAGAAAGTCCTCAGAATGTTTATCAGGTGCATAAATGACAGTAAACTCAACCCCAGAGGGAACGGTCCTCAGGGGAAGCCACAGGGCAGGAGGAGAGACAATGGAGGAGTGTGGGTTCTTAATAAGTGTTACGGTTGCAGTCACCAGTGTATTTCAACAGAGCAGCCAGCACAGAATAGGGACAGGTTTCCACAGATCCTCAGACCAGAACTAAAAGGACCTTGGAGGGAACTCAGGAAACTATGAAGGCTGAGAGGAAGAAGGACTTCCCAGTACCACGGGCACAGTCACACTTCCCAGTTTGCTCAAGCAGTCCCCTTCACCCCCATATCTCACCTGTGGGGATCTTCATTTTATGTCCCCTCAGAGAAGCCCTCCTGGCTCCTCCAATTACAGCCCACTGCTCCCTCCTCTCCACCCCAACACCCTCATGGGCCAGTGTTATGGTTTAGAGAGGAGGTGACCCCCAAAGCTTGTGTGTGAGACAATACCAGAAAGTTTGGAGGTGACATGATTGGATTGTGAGAGCCTTAACCCAATAATTGATTAATCTCCTGATGAGGGTTCACTGGATGGTAACTGTAGACCTGGAGGGTGGAGCTGGAGGAGGTGGGTCTCTGGGGTGGGCCTGGGGTATGTATTTTGTCTTTGTTGAGTGGAGCTCGCTCTCTCTCTCTGCCTCCTGGTATGATGTCTTGTGCAGCTCTCCTCCACTACACCCATGAAATTCAGCTCTCCTTGAGCCCTAAGCAATGGCGCTGCTGTCTTTGGACTGAGCTCTCTGAAACCATGAGCTTTTCCTTTTCTATGTTGTTCTTGTCATGTCTTTTGGTCACAATGCAACAAAAGTAGAATGAAAGAGCCAGTGGATGCTGGGACAGTAAATTAGTGACTCTAGGGGTGAGGAGTGGGTCCTGAGATCTCAGAGCAGCTCAGAGGAGTACAGCGTTGTCCTGCCCAGTACCCACTGGCTCTGGGACCTCTGCGTGTTAAGAGTAGCTCTCCCACAGAGGCCAGCTTGTAGGATATCACTCATTGCTGTGCCTCCTCCCTGTAGGGTCCAAACTTTACCTGGGCCCAGGTTCTTTTCTGTGTGGACATCTGAAACAGAGCCACCACAACAGCACAGAAACAGCCCTGGGAGCTGACCATGTGTCTCTACAGACTTCATGGGCATCCTAGCCTGTGGGGTGCTGCTGCTCCTCCAAGATCAGAGTGACGCTCCAGTTTGGGGGTTGGTGGGACCCAGTCTGAAGTCCCATTAGCCAAAGGGTGCAGAGGAAGAGACAGAGGCTGCAGGAAGGTAGGCACCAGGGAGGGGAGAGCTTGTAAAAATGATAGAGGACAGAGGGGATGTACAGCCACACTGGGCTCCCCCAAATGCCCAGGGTGGCTCCCTTGAAGTGCGGACAGGGTCAGATTTCCTAATGTCACCAGCACCAAGGAGAAGGCAGGGTATGAGGGGAGACTGAGGAACCCAGAAGAGCAGGGCCACCTTCCCTGTCTCTGGACGGGCAATCAGGACACTGAGTGCTGGCTGTGCTGGAGCTCCAGCTGCCAATGGGAAAGACAGCCACTTAGGAACCCCTTCCTGCTGCCATTTGGCTCTAGGTCATGCCTTTGGCCAGAGGGTTGACCTGACCCTCTTAAAGGGGCTCCAGGCAAGGTCACCTGTCTTTGGGGGAAATACAGAAGGCCCAGGCACTGTGTCCTAAAGGGGATGTGGGATGTCACTGGGTTCCTGTCACTTTATGCACCTGAACTAAAAAAGGGTATGGCTTGGCTATTAGGGCAAAGGTGATGGGGCTCTGAGCCTACAGGCAGCATCCAGCCCTCATCAGAAGTTAGGCAAGGTTGGCAGGATGCCTGGGCTGTCCTTGGTCCTCGATCCTCTCTCTTATAGGCTTCTACTGTGGAGCCCCCTTATCTCTTGCTAATCCTCTGCACTCTGCCCAGGAGGAGTCCACACTCACCTCTCCCCCATGACACACCCACAGAGGGACTTTCCCATTTTCCTGTTGTTGACCAGGCTCCTCTCCAAAGTCATTAGGATTTTCTAGACAAGGAAAGCTGCCCAATCTCACTGCTGGCTGCCATTATAAATATTGTCTTGGCTTCACCCAGCAGAAAAAAATCATTAACAAGACACAACAGAGCATTGATTTGGGTGCCACCCTCTTCTGTCCGCTGCAGTTCTGGCTACTTCAGAAGACCATCAAGGCCTCAGGGTCTTACACACAATGCCCAGGACTTTGTGAGTGTGTGTGTGTGTGTGTGTGTGTCTGTGTGTCTGTGTGTTTGTGTGTGTGTAATAGAGAGAGAGAATGAAGGGGGAGGGAGAGAGAGAGAGAGAGAGAGAGAGAGAGAGAGAGAGAGAGAGAGAGAGATTGATTTTTTTCTCCATCTCCATGACCACAACTCACCCTCTGGGGCACCATGCTTTCCCCTTCCTAACACAGGAGGCACCTCACACTCTTACATGGTGCAGCTTCCTCCACCATCGAGTGGAAAGGATGATGTGCTGTTGGCTTAACAAGTCTCTGATCAGGGACATTTTAGCAGACTTTGTCCATGGCTGTCACAACACAAACCTGAGGCATTTGGGGTGCTGTTTGTGTACATTACATGAAAAGAAATTTCACCTAGTAAGGAATTCTGTGTAGGCAGCCTGTTCCTGGGAATAGGTGCATACCACGCATGCCCCCTTTTTGGTTCTGAGTGAAATCCCAGGTTGCTTTACCACTGAGCCATGTCCCCAGCCCTTTTCATTGCATTTTGATACAGCATCTCACTAAGTTGCTTAGGGCCTTGCTAATATGCTGAGGCTGGCTTCAGCCTCCTGAGTTGCTGGGATTACAGACATGCGTGTGCCTTTTGACTTGGAACATATCACAGTTCATTTTGGGGTGTTAAAACAATAGAACTGACCTGACACTGGATGATGTATAAAGAAAATAGATTTACTTACCTCTGCCCAGGTGACCCTCTGGGTTCGATCTTGGTTAATGACTTTTGGCTATATCATAACTTTGTAATGGCATGACATCGTAGGACTTTGTGGAAGACAGATCACATGATGAGAGAGGCAGCAATAGACAGTGAAGAGGAAGACTTGCCTTTTAAAAAATTTTGTAAGTGGATGTGTAACCGATGTGATTCTGCAATATGTATACGGGGTAAAAATGGGAGTTCATAATCCACTTGAATCAAATGTGTGAAATATGATATGTCAAGAGCTTTGTAATGTTTTGAACAACTAATAATTTTAAAAAATTCAGAAAAATAAAAAATTTCGTATTAGTTATTGATGGACTGTTATTTGTTTGTTTATATGTGGTGGTGAGAATTGAACCCAGTGCCTCACACATGCTAGTCAAGTGCTCTACCACTGAGCCACAACCCCAACCCCAGACTTGCTCTTTTGGAAAAATGAATACTCACCTCAAAGGAATTAATCCACTCCTGTGAGATTAATCCACTTGAAAGACTAG